TTAGCATCCTTTGTACACGACCTGAAATATGAAATATCCGAGATTTTAACCGTTTGTATAAAGAGTCTGCTGTAGTACCCCCAAAATCTACCATGGCATCTTTAATTGAACTCAAAGTTCCCTCAATAGCTACTTTTTCATTATCATAATTGAAATCATACAAAGCCATATTGATGGTTGATCCAGGATTGTTCCTCTCTTTATCTAACAAACGTGCAAGAATTTTTCTCCTTTAATCTTGAGGCTTGTTAGTTTTAATACCCCTAATGGCAAGTTCATAGTTCAGTTCTTCAAAAAGTAAATGAATCGGCTTGAATGCTTCCTCCATTTTAAAAAAAATACTTCCTTACTAAGTAAATGGTCAAAGAGTTCCAATGTCGAAAATCAGTTGCAAAAATACCCAAAGATGGCACCAGTTCAGTAACACTCACCGTATTGTCCTTCAGAATCCAGCAGAAAAATAAATTCAAGACAAATTTTCAAATTTCCAAAAAATGCAAAATTTCACCATACTATTATTTCTCAAAGAATACCCATTGAAGGTTGAATCAATTTCCTAACGATTGGACTTCAGAAAATCTTCATGTCATGTTTTTATAATCACCCTGTATGCATTTCTCAGTCACCCTCCTGGACTATTTTCAAAAATAACCAATTCAAAGAATACATCACAATTCCGGCTCCACACGTTGGCTGCGCCACTTGTAACCTTTTTACTTACCTTGTTTGAAGGGTTACTGCTCCGACAGCTTTTATAGTCTTGGAGAGCTGGGTCGTAGATAAGGACTGTGTTGTATATGAGGAATAAGTTTACTTTTATCAAATTTTTGGGCACCACTTGACTTCAGGGTTAAGAAAAGAGAATGAGTTTCATTAAAAAGTCAAGAAAAGGAAACTTTTGACTGGATGACAAAATTCAACACTAATTATGACAAAGGGTTGATGAAGTCTACTTATTATAATAGTCCAACAGGTGTAGGTGTGTGAGAAATACAAACAAATGGATTTTTGTAATTTTTTTTTACTAATCTATTCAGTACCGATTTGTACAGCCCATAATATCGCTTCATAAGCTATAGGTATCACAATAAAGCAAACATTTAAGAAGTGAGACAATTCTGAGTGGAACAACATCCAAACATAATAAAGGAAGAGAAATTATAAGTATGAACCTATGAATTCTAGATTATCACCAATTCTCATCACCAAAGGAGGCAATATTACATGTGAATGAAAACTTCGTTCTCAAGGCTCTGGGCCTCACCCAGTATACTGTGTGTTGCGCAGGGTAGAGATATAATCTCATCCAAAGTGTGAAGAGATATGTGATTATAAATTAATGGACTTAAATTGGTGGAACCATTGATGTTATGAAAAATTGTCACTAGCAAAATGTATTTCAATTGAATGAAGGCTTATCTGTGATTCCGGAACTGTCCAAGGTCCAAAGGGTAGCTTCTGAGCTCGGGTAGAAGTAATCATCCTGACAGGTAGGACATCAGATGATTGTCTGCAGCCCCTGCAGATGAATGCAGAAAATCGGCGATATCCCGAAACTCCAGGGCATCAGGAGTCAAACAAAAAAAATGATGGGGCCTCCCCCACAAAATCAACCAAAAATCACAGCGTAGGCTGCCTCATCATAAAAAAAAACATGCCTAACTTAGGCACAACCAAAATAAGCCTAAAATAGACCTTGCCAAACAACCCTGAAAATAAACATTATCAATGTCCCCTCGTAGATAAAACAGGACATGAAAACTTACCTCACCCTGGAGGGTTGTCTCAACTAAAGAAAATGGCTTCTGCCGACATGCCAAAGCACTAGTGTAGTGATTGGACGGCCCTTTACAAGATTCATAATTCCGAAAAACATATACCCCTAAAAGTTAAACAATCCCTAGGTTCTTGCAAGAAATTAATCTGAACTCACTCACATCCCGATCCAGATAGGAGCGAGCTCAAACTAAAAATACCAGAAACGGCGTGCATGCCGATAGCCTGGGCGGCTTCTGCATTAGCCCTGACACAACTGCCCTGATGGTTATCTCGATCCCTACAAAGAAACCCGGCACATACTAAACTGACGTTTTTCACAAATTCTGGCGATACACCAGCTCAAACGGCCATGGAATCTTGGATCACCAGTCACCTCAGGAGTCGATACAAACGACCATCCTCATTTCTTTTCGTCTCCTTCCTGCTAAACCCCCCTTGACCCCTCGAGTCCACTTCGTAGGTAATGCAGGATACAGGAATGGAAACTACAACGTGCCATGCAGCGCCCTCTAGGAACCGAGATTATCTACCACGAAGATAGGAAAACACTCGAAGGCTGCCTAGCGGAACAGGAGAACTTCGAAATCGACCATCCCGGACGAAATGAAGTGAAACAACAGGTAAGTGAAAATCATCCCCAATCCAACATGAAACAACTGATTTTCAAGCTTTTCTCTCAATGATTTTCTTTTCAGGTTTCATCCCTCTATGCAAGGATAATGGAAATAGCATTCGTTCAAATTGACGTATAGGCAATAATAAAATGGTAATCTGTAAACGTTGTTTTATTTAAGAATTCCTGCTAATTAACGCAGATTCACACTAAGCGCTATCTATTAGCAAAAAAACGCAACCGCGGAAACTAGTGCCCATACAATTTGCAAATTACAGAACCAGTTGAACGCGCTACTAGGAACCAAGAATTATATCTAGGCGACTGTATTACACGTTTCTAGAACCCCGCTCACAGGTTGCGCACCCGTCTTTACAGGTTGTATACCGGATGGAATTCTGAAACGCTACAATATGTCCTTCGAAGTCTTCATATATGGTCAGTGCGATCGTATCTGCTATATATGTAGGCATGTCAGATGCTAGAATGCGGAGTTACAGTGTAAAAAGAGTCGGAGTCGAAGTTTCTTGTTCTGCCTCTTGTGTGCATTATACCCGTTTCGATGTCGTCTTTTATGATCGATGCGAACTACAGTTAACTTTGACTTTGAGTTATCCTGTGTTTAGGTAAAAGATTCTGGGATGATTGATGATGTTACCTTGATGCCAATGGTTGAAAGAATCTAGGAGAGCTCCAGCTATGGAAAGATGAGTGAGTTCGATTATTCAATTGTATTATGTATGATCAAGAGCGCCAGGTAATTTTTGTAAAAATTCACCTCAAGACCTTATGGCCCTCCAAATTACCAAATATTAGGCCATGGAAATTAAACAACAAGCAACATTCAACAATCCATATAATATCCTCAAATCTTGAGAGCAGATGTAAGTTTCAACTACAGAAAAAAAATACTAAAGTCTCTGAACTATGATTAGGTACCTATAAGAGAGAGTATTTCTGAACATCAAAGTATTGAAAACTGATAGTTTTTCTGGCAAGTAACACACCTCCAGAGCCTGATGGGCAATCTGGGGTGACTGATGATGCTTAATTCAAAGTTACACCCCTAAGCATAAAATATCTAACCTAGTAAACTTAATAGAAGGCAGCTGCGCAGGTTCTTACAAGAGCATAAAAATTACCTTTAGGTTTAGTAAGTGTAACTTTCTTGTGATGAATACTGAAATTATACAATGTTTATTAACTCTACAAAAGGATCCCTTACATCCTGACAATATCTGAATAGGTGATCATATTCGCATAGGTGATTGTATCTGTATAGGTGATCATACCTGACAAAACACTATCTAGAAAACGAGAAAATAAAACACCTCTGAAACTTTATTGGACCCTAACTTGGGTACTTAGCTGACAACTTAGGCGCAGACCCTCAGAGTCGACGCAGCTTCCAAATATCACTCCGGATGAGGGATGATGGCTGTGAAATCTCAGCAATGCGCTAACCAGCAGACCAAGTCAGATTCAAGGCGTCTGACGACAGTGAGCTCTCAGGTACGACCCGGAGACGGAGTTATCAGGACAGGGCTCCTGGAGTTCCTCTCAAGATCTCTGTTTGCCGAAACAGCATCATGAAGATTGGCACCAGATGAATCGTACTAGGTACAACGAGCCTGATATAAAGAACAGAAAACTTGGTACCAAGTTCAGAAAAAAACGTAAAACGAAGTGACATACCCAAGATGGCGTTAGGGCTCTCATGAGTGGTCGGTCCTTGGGCAGCAAGAATTTCCATCAGGTTGGAGATCACACAATACGGCCACACGGCACTTCATCACCAGCAACAACCCAAGCACTGAGGAATTCAGCACACCAATTTATAATCCCCTTTTTCCCAAGGGTGCTCACATAAGCAGAATTTAGGTGGCCTTTTAGTATCTCTACCAAACCCAAAAACCGAAAAAATTATCTGGACCCCGTTCCTTCTCTACCGGTCCCTTTTGAAGGCCAGGCAAAAACCCAAAACAACGCTGAACGCTATTGGTGAATCCAGAAAATGACACGGCGGGACAAGCCCTCATTGGTCACCTCAACAACATGTGACCGCTGTCGATTTCTATGTATTTCTATTGGGTCAACTGCTGCTGCTTTGAAAACGAAGTAGCAACTGAAGAATGAAAAAGTCCCTAGATTGCCACACTGGAATCCCCACACGAAATTTCGACTGTATGTCACTACAAAATTATAGTAAAATAAACGGAAAAAGGGTTTCTATCATTCCGTCTACTCTCAAGAGCACCATGAATGGTGAGAATCGACAAAATATACAATAAATCCCAAATCCAATGAGAAAATAGGTACTTCCTTTTAGGGAGATACTGCATTTCCCCAGAATTCCCTAAGCCACATGTTACCAAGATTCCTCAACTGATTCATATTGGCAACAGTGCGGACCTAATTTATGACAAGTCATCAATGAAGTTTGACGTTCCATAATGGCACACTACTGATACAAAGTACAATATTATTATGAAATGTCAACACAACCCCAATATTGAATACAAAATAGTACTCGAGGGAAAAAAGGTAAGAAAATCCCGGCGTTGCTAAAATCGAATGTCCACTAATAGTTCATTCCGATTTTTCCCAGGTCGAGAACGACGCAGTCGCCACCCACCAACAGCTTGACATAGGGACTTCGAAAAAAACAACAAACGGGGCCGCAGTCTCAAACCTCAATCCTTGTGCACCTAAACACTGACGACGCGGATAAACAACAAATGAAGGGGCACAGGAACTATCAGGGTAGCTCAGTGAATAAGACAAGTGTTGTGTTTAGAAAATAAACAAGAAAAGAGCTGTTCGTCCAAGAATGTATCACAAGCCAAGGCAGTGCAGAAGGTAGTGATATGCAGATCCACAAGTGAGTTTCCACAACAAAATCATTAGTGTGAGAGTCTTTATACTGTATGTGCTGTATGGTATTTATATTAAAGGTATAGTACACGAACATTTGGTATAGCGCTTTTTATTTCCAACTGAGATATTGTTTATTTACTCTTTCCCAATGAGTACAGTGCAAGCAAAAATAAATGTATCAACTCCCCCCCCCCAATAAAAAAAATGTTGATGACCTTTTATTTGCCGGGTCACTCAAGATAGTTAGTCAGGTGGATGGGGTCTGAGATCGTTAACATGGTATACACCAACCAACCTCCCATTGATATCCTCTAACTCGTAGCTGCAAGTGCCTAATTTCTTTCTGACTACGCATGAATCAACGTACTTAGCTGCCAACTTAGCATTTAAGTAATCCACTTTACTAGATTGAACGTGATTTCTCCTTCCTACATGGCTCCCTACTGCATAATGAACTTCCCTACGTCGTAAATTGTACCTGTGAATACTCTTTTCATATGCTTTCTTTAAACGCACCTCAATGTCCTCAAAAATCTTTGAAAACCCTGAATCCCGAACTATCCTCTGTTCCGATCGATCTGCGGTCACATCTATCGGCCGATTCAGACTCATAGTCTGATGGAAGTCCCCATTTCCAATATATTCACGCCCAAAATTGACATAGTAAGGAGTATAACCCAGCACTTCGCGAACTTGAGTCCTGATTGCACAAGAAACCTAAGGAAGATATGAATCCCACCGACGGTGGTTTTTCTGCACATAACACGACAACATAGTTATGACGATTCGGTTTACCCGTTCCGTTGGATTATTTTGAGGATGATAAACCGCATTATACATAATATTAACATTGTACTCCGTACATAAATTTTGAAACTGTTTACTCTCAAATTGTACCCCGTTATCCACAATAATATGCCTACAAACCCCGAACAAAAGGAATACATTTTCTTCTAAATGCCTACAAACAGATACAGCGGTAGCTGATTTGGAGGGAAAAGTTAATACGAATTTTGAAAAATAATCACAAACTACCAAAATATGGTTATATCCTCGAGTACTTCGAGGCAACGGTCCAATAAGGTCACAGCTCATCAGCTCAAACGACCTGGAAACTTTAGGACGAGTACCCATATTACCAGCAGGTTTCTGCTAGACTGCTTTGGTACCGAGACACGTAACACAACGATATTCATAGTGTGTGATGTCATTTCGCATTTTGGGCCAATAATAATGGTGGCAGGCCTTCTCGTATGTCTTAAAAATTCCGGAATGAGCCGATAACTTGGAATCATGAACTTCCGCAAGAATTCTCCGTCGATACCCCTTAGGAACCACCGATTTCCAATAGTCCGAGTCATCACTCAGCTCTGAAATTTTGCATTTGACATATTT